GAAAATCTGCAGTATTTCTCTTTGTTGCCTTTGATTTATTTTCTTTTCTTCCAGAGGAGACTTAAATGATAGGGGCAACTAAACGCTGTCCTGTTGAAATTATTAATCCAAAGAAAACTCAGAGACAAAAGGCTTGTTTGGTGCTGCAGGGGTATGTTGCAAATATCCCTTTCAGGTGTGCATATAAAATCATTAGACTCTTAAATCAGAAGGGAGTCATCTCAAAGCATAGAGTTTGGGAAGACAAAAGTCATCTGTGTGTTCATTCCTTACTTTTGCCCACCATCCACAGAGTTTCTAAATAATTTAGATTTTCGTCATTCTGAAAATGAAGCTTCTTTCAGAGAATCCTGCCAAAACCAAATTGTATTGCGCAAGCACTAGATGATTTTTTTGAGTATGATTGATATCCGTTATTATAAATTATCTTCACTGATGTTGCAGATAGCCTTTCCCTGTGCAAAGGAATATATACGCCCAAGGCAGAGGAAGCTCTTTGGGATGGATGAGCAGAATTTTTAACAGTTGGAGTAGAAGCCATGGGTAACGCCCTGATGAGAGAAATTAGAACATGCATGCCTGCATAATTTCTCCTGTGAAATGAAGAGTGAAGAAGAGCCAGAGGAGAGTAGGAGGGTAGCACAAGTGCAAAATGACAAAAGCAAGAAATTTTTCAATTAAAACTAATTATTCTTGTTAGTATAATATGGCATGTTAGCACACAAAGGCAACACTTACCTGTGATTAAGCAAAACCAGTCAGAGTTATCTTGATCTCACTGACTGCTCTCCTGGGCAGGACTCGGCTCTGCTGCTCAGCTGCCCGGGGAGGCCGAGGGAATGGTCCCACTTGGGGCAGCTGCTGCTGTGGCTGCTGAGCCCTGGTTCGATCAGGAGGCTTCCTCCAAGCTGCTGAAATCAGTGAGTGTGGTGGGCTGGTCATTTACTCTGCATCAGGATCTTCGTGCAGGGAAGTGAAACTTGGAGTATTTCCAGTTGAGTTTCACAGAGCGACGTGCCTCCCGGTGTCACTCTTGGTTTTAGTCCTGGACTTGCAGCAGGAGAGAGTTATGCTGGTTTATGTGTCAGGTGGCTGAAGTGTACAATAAAGTGTATGTTCTTGTCCACATTATCTTTCTGTGTGCTCTGCATATAAAACAGAAATGACATTTTGTTCGTACGTGATTATTTTTAATTGATGGGCAGGTGTGCGGCGAGATTCGTACTCCAGAATAACAACGTCTTGGACATATGTAAACTAGTTTGAGATTCCTGAGTTGCACATTTAGAGTCCTCAAGTTGTGCTACAAAGTAAAGTAAGGTGTGATCAAACTAAGAAAGTATGATGTTCCACAATACTTACACCTGCAGAAAAGCTGCGACTTTTCACCTAAATGAAAGTCTCCCACACAGTCTTGTGTTCCTCGTGGGGCTATTGTGTTGTTGCCATCAGAAGTCATTCTTGTGATTACAACTTTTGCAGCCATCATTTATTTTTAATGATGCATCACTGTCAGGTGAACATAACAGACACTATAATCCACTAAACTGAGTGGCTTCTGTTCTCTGTGATTCTATTCAGTCTGTGAATTTCTGATGGAATCAGCTTACCAGGCTTGAAAACAGGCTGCGATTCAGGTAGAACTTAAAGTTAGAAAAAGTCAAAGAGCCAATTTTATTTTTCTTTTTCCCATGTGTTAAGATTTCCGTAAGTACAGGACAAAGACCCGGTTGTTTACTGCTATTTACTGTAATAAAAAAGGCGAAATAATTCTCTTATGCATTGCAAAGAACTCTCCCTGTGCATCCCAGGTGGGTCTTGGATGCTGGTATGCTTCGGTGTGACTATAAAGCCAAATGAAATACCTTTCTATAGTGAAGTCAGGTTCATTACAGTGTAATTTCCTTCTAAAAACAAGTTTCCTTTTGAGGACTTTTATCTGAAATAGCTAATGAATGTAATGGTATTAAATAATTAAATAATAAAATACTGTTATGATGCCAAAAAGAACATCTCGGTCTCTTTGATCTTCATTTCTGCTAAAGATAGAAAATTTCACTAGAGACTTTTGTAAACAGACTCCATTAATCCAAACAAATTGTTTTGGAAAACAGCAACTATAATAGATTTTAAGACAGTGAATAACCTTGAGTTTTAATTTTCAATACAGCGTGAGCTAACTCCACATTAATTGGAGTCACGCCTCTAAGTCATGTTGTACTGCTCTGAAATCCGCGTGTGGCTACTTCTGTTTGTCTTGGCTTTAATTAATCATTCCCTTATTTCTTGGCAGCAGCCATTGTAGGGCAGGGAAATACTGTTCCAGGTGTAGTGTTGAGCCTCTACAGCCTCTGCCTGCCTCCTGCACAGCAAGGCTCTGTGCAGCACAGGCGCTCCTGTCAGCATGCAGTCCTGCAGCAGATGAAACGTAGATGTGTCTGTACTGTTTCCAACTGGTGTGCTGATGGGAACTGTCTCTAGGAGTCTTTAAGCATTTCTTCTATTTTTGAAAAAGTTCAGATTTCGTTTTTTCTACATCTGCCGTGTTTAGTAACATTCTGTGCATGTGTATCGTAAGTTGCTGTGTGTTTGCATGTAGCTTGATTTATTTTCCCACAAAACTTTTCATGACTACCTGAGAATAAGAAGGATCCCATTTGAAGAGATGCAGATGTCTGTTATTTATGTTTAGAAAAAGAAATACATCTGGTTCTGACAATACATTACTCTTAAGAGTGCACCAAAGGATATAACTGTCTCTATTAAGAGTGTCAGTGGAGTTAATGAGGAGAAGTACCCTGAGAACTGCAGTGTCTGTATGGCTTGGCTCTCTGTGCACTTTGGGGACCTCATTTCTGATTGCTTTGTTCTTTCCAAGTTCCCTGATGGGACAGGGGAACAATTAACTCCCGTAAAGCAGAAGCCTGAGAGCAGCTGGGCCCACTAATGACAGGCAGTATGGATTTGTGCTGTGCCATACATGAATTTCTCCCCAGGGATAGTCCCTTGGTGTCATCCCAGCATGTCTCATGCCATTCAGTGCCCTCAGACAACATGGTGTCACTCCTCATATCGCAGTGCACGAGTACTTTCAGTCCTTACTAAAAACACTGCTCTGGGGCAAATCATGTGCCTTGTGGATGTAACCAGTCTTTCCAGCTTGTCCAGAGGAGAAGAGGCAGAAGTGGGACTGTGTTTCTTGATCAATTCCCCACTGTGTAGCCCAAAAAGACAGGTCTAACTCTCAGGTCTTTCTGTAAGCTGGTTCTCCAGATTTCAGTTGAAAAATAATTTGTATTTTCAAGAGTTTAATTATTGTTTTTTTTGACTGCTTTCCTTGTTGCTTATGGTTTTGAATGCTAGCTAATGGTCAAGCATGTGGAAACTAAATTGAATTCGGTACGTGTGACTGGCAGTGAGGACAGAGAGTGAACTTGGTCGTTGGAGTGCTCAAGTTGTCCTTTGTCACATACTTCTCACCTGAATCCAGTACTTGCACTGGGAAAATAGCTGTAAGAAAGTTTAAGTGCCAACATGTGGAATAGCAGTGAAGAGTAGAAGAACAGGAGATATCTGAAAAGCTGAAGGCAGAGTAGTCAGTGTGGTGTAAGGGATTGTAGTGGTGGTTTGGAGTGTGCAGTTAACTCTGGGTATAAGTTTCCAAGGAAAAGCAAGAAAGCAGCTGTGGAAGGAGGTAAGAAATTTCCTCTGTCAGAGGAGTTTTTTTCTTTGCATTGTCTATACAGAGGTGTCATGGTGGCCAACACAAGTTGCCAGGCATTTGTGACTATTCCCCTAACTGGGAGGGATGTTTGTGAGGAGAGAAGTTTGTGTTGTTCATAACTCTGCAGTATTGAAGAACTTAATGCAGGTGGTTTTTCTTTCCCTACCCTGACTCTGTTAAATACAACTATCAGATTTTTTAATCAGTTTTGTTGACACCTGTATACAGCTTCCAGTTATTAATGTTTGATTTATTTAGGTGTGTGTGCAGTGGGGAAGTATTAGATTCCCTGTCTCAGCTACGGGCTTGCTCTTAATAAATTGATCTCTTCTGATGGTCCCTCGGAGCTTTAGTGAGAGATACAGTTGTACTTGGTAACTAGAAACAGCACATTTTTAAAGATAACTAGCTATTACTATAGTGGTCATTGCAAGAAACAAATGAAATTAATGTAGTTACTCTGTGGCTGGAATTACATTATTAGTCAAGATGATGATGTGTTTATGGTACTACAGGAGCACAGAAATTTGTAGCACTGTATGAAGACATTTTTATTTTAGCTCTCATCATAGGCAAGGTAAACATAACTTACTGACTGTGAGAAGCACATGTAATAGAGTAAACTATATATGGGTTAACTGTCTGTCAGTCACTTATTCTTCTGAGCCACCGCTGCTGCATGTGTACTACTTATTTTCTGGGGTTATGGGGGGAGAGTGCGTTTTTAGTTTATGTGAGTTCTGCGAGCAGATAAAGAAGCAGTTTTTCTAGCTCTGGTACTGGCACAATTACTGACAACTTTGCAAGTGTGGTGCTGAATACAGACTGCTGCCTGAAACTCCCTGGCTGGTGCCAAGGGGCTGACTAGGAAGTGTTGGCTAAAAACCTCCTGTTTAAATTTTTGTGAAGTGTGTACTCAGAGCTTACAGCTGCATCCGTAGTTGAGGACTGAACCATTTCTGTGTTACGCTGGCATTAAAATAGAGTGTGACTTTCAATGTGAATTGGAGGCACTTGGATTTAGGTTTGCTTCCATGCTTTTAGCAAATGAAGTGCAATATTGACCTGTTGGAATGAGAAGCTAACGTGAAAAGAAACGCTAAGAAGCGTTGTGAATGTGGATTTTTTTTTTTTAATTGCGTGCTGCTCTAAAACTGCCCCTTGAGGAAATTGGGAACTAGAAGCTTAAAAAGCATATTTGATTAGAGTAGTTGGTATTTCATTCGCCTGTGGGTTTTTTCCTGACTTTTTGTTCTTTTTTTCTTTTCTTTCTTAGTCTTCATGAGGAAATCATTGACTTTTATAAGTATATGTCTCCCAGACCTGAAGAAGAAAGAATGCGGATGGAAGTGGTGACCAGAATAGAAAACGTTATCAAAGAGCTCTGGCCTAATGCAGATGTGAGTAGGACACTGTTTTATTTGTTAATTTATAAAAGCAATGTTTTGTACCTGTTTACTTCATGAAATATTGAATACTGAAAATTCTGTTTATTTTTCCATGTTGAAAGAAACAAAAACCACAGAAAGACTTCTGGTCAAATGAGAGAGCTGATCTTTCTTTCTAGAATAATACAGGTTAACATTTTCTATCACACATAAAACCAAAGACAAGTTAGTCCTGCTGTAGTCACAGAAAGGGCATAAGGTGTGGCAACATTCTGTCTCATGAATATTTATTTACTAAGATTAATGGGAACATATCAGGCATGCATGCATGTATTTTATAAAAAAAAAATCTTCTGAAACTCCTGTCTTCACTAGTAGCAGGGCTTCTAGTCCAAAGACCCTGCAGTCTTAAATAAATCTGTTAAGGTGGAATACCAGCAATGCCCCATTACATGGACCATGGTATATTTAAAAGGCAGTTAAATTAAATTTGCATGTCTTACAAATTTAAAAAAAAACAAGAGTTTCTGTGTAGGAAGAAACAAATCTGTAGATCTGTGTATTGAGCTTACAATCTGTAACGCCTCTTCCCACTGAAGATGGGTTTTGGTGGTACTTACTCATTTGAAACAAGTGTTTCTCCTGTGCAGAGCTAACCATTTTTTGCTAAGATTGTATTAAAGAGAAGACAGAGAAGTTGCTTTTACAAGTCAATATGATTTTATGAGGAGACAGTTGGATTTCTGGCATAACTGAATCTAGTTTAATTGTATTCCTCTAACTAATATGTTGTTCATTTCCAGAATGCAGATTTGTAGCTGTAGTCATCTATTTGTAGATAACAGTAGCTGAAAATAAGGGCTTGTGAGCCAGAATAGCAAACCAAATTCAGACAGCAGAATCTCTAGTATAAGGAATGCTCTTTGATCCTGCTACAGTAAAAGATAATATTTTGACATGAGTGACTTAAATCCCCGGTTCATTTCAAGTCTTCTTAACCTGTTTTTTTGGAATGTGTTTCTAGAAATTGGCAGAATATGACAGCATATGAATTCTGTAGAAGCCCTATGTATGTGGTGTGTGGTTTTGTGTGTAAAATATACTCACATTGTCAAGGTGTTTGTTGTCACAGACGATGTATCAGTAAGGTATCCTATGGAAGGAGCACTCTCCACTCAGTGGTAGCTGCCTTTGCACAGTTAGAGGGAATTGGTGGAGGCATTACTACCTGTATCTGGGAATTTTGAGCACAATCAGTAAGCTTTCCATGGAAACTGTGTAAGAGACTTTAGCACGTGCCATAGGTGTTGTACAGCTCTCCTTAACCCAGTGAAACAGTGAGACAGACCCTAATCAAGACTAGGAGCAGTGGGCTGCTAGTCTGACAGGCAATAGTGTAGGAAACAGTGTGGTTATGAAACTGTATGCTGTGATACACCCTGCTAGTGCCTTGTAGGAGGGGATTTCACCAAAATCACTGGTCGCTTCAGCTTAGAGAAGATTTCCTATTTCCTGGGCAAGTCTGTGTGCTGCAGACTTAACTGGTGCAGTGGGGTTTGTGAATTTATTACCGGGGGATCTCTCTTTGTTACTGCCCAGACTTTGAATGGGGCACAAGACTTAGTGCTTACAGAGATACTGTTTGTAGGACAAGCTTGATCTGTCAAAGTTAAGTCTTTTGTATTAAAAATAATTTTTTACATATATATATGTGTGCCTATATATATATATGTATTTGGGGCCTTGAGAAAATAGTCTTTCTTTAAACTACTGAAACATTTGTGTTGCCACAATGTATTTAAGAAGGGGAAGCAGTTTACAAGCCTTACCACAGGACACAGCTGACCACTGGGCTGAGCTGTAATGTGACCAAGAGGAAGCACACATTGTGTAGTTGAAAACTGAAGTTCATTTTTCAATTAGTGACAGTTAAAACTGCCAGGACTGTCTTTCTCTGCTGTACTTGAAAATGTTAGAGAGCGAGAGCGTGCCAGTTCCGTTTTCTCAAGTCAGTAACTGTTCTTCAAAGCCCAACTGCACTTTGTCTGCAGTTGTTACATCGAGGAGGAATTCTCCTTTTGTGCGTCCTTCCATTTTCTGGGGGCTAGAAGGGAACTGAACAGTGACAACAGACTGCCGGGTTATAATTTGGAAGTTACTGTGCTGTTATTTTTCTAACACTTACTCTATCAGATCAGCTTGGGAACTGAACTGCTGAACTCAACTGTGTTCAACTTTGACAATCTCTTGTTGTAATTTTTCAGTCCTTTGAGTTAATCACTAACCTTTTGGTAATCTGTGTTGGTTTAGCTACTTCTAAGATTCAAGTTTTGAGTACATGCTCTGAGAAGGTGGAGTGTTATCTGGTCCAATGTCCTCAGCTTTAGCTGTAGTGTAAAGTGATGAGTTAATGTTTAAGCTGTTCATTTTGAGTCATAGATGCAGCCAAACCAGCTAAAATAAACTTGGGAGTTAAACATACACATTTAGTTTGTAGTTTCTCACTAAACACATAAGTAAGACATAGTCTTTAAAAATCAGATACCAAGAAAAGGGAAATCAGGCTTCATGAATCTAAATGTACAGAGAACATGTAGAATGTGCCTGAGCACATACTTTTTTTTTTTTCCCCTCTCCTGTTCCACTTAGGAAAGGCTGAAAAAGCAGATGGGGGGGTAAAACTAGGTACCCTAAACTGTTACTTTATTTATAGAAGTTAGCAATTGTGTCATTTGCTCTCTTACTCAAGGGAATGTGCTTAGAAGGAAACATTCCTAGGAAGTGAGAACTGTTCTTGGCATCAACAAGGCTCTGACCATAAGAAACGCTTTAATTACGCTGAAACCAAACATCCCAAAACATTAAATGAAAACATTTTAAGACAAAGATTTTTGACCAGTTGAATATGCAAATTTGACTGTTGAACAAATAAATACTTACACAGTGGAATTTAGGATACATTTGCTAAAGTGTCCTCAGCTTCGTGTCTGTGTGACCTCATAGATCTGAAAAGAGGTAATGTTGCATACTTCATGCACTTCAGTTATGAAAATACTACGATGGAATGAAAGCAGGAAGATGAACTCTGTTTAGTTCAACAAACCTCAGAAATTCTACTTAATGACGTAGAAGGAAGGGAAATTAAATTGGCTGTGGTGTTTTGACAGAGGTATTTTAGTAACAAGGATTTACCAAGCTTTTGTGGGTTTCCAAGTTCTGTTGTGCATAGCAAGCACGTATTTGGGCACATACTGTAATTAAAGCTTCTTTGGAATTTAATATGAACAAGTTCACAGAAATTTGGGAGAAATAGTAACAATAAAATAGAGGAGTAGGAGGAGTCATTGCAGTGCTGTGAGGTGTGAAGTTACCTTATGAGTGCAAATCCATATCTCTGTCCATGTAGAATAAAAATATGATCAGCATTGTTGGCACACCACAAAAACTAATGCTCACATCTCAAGCCATAATGGAGTCCTGTATTTGGGATACCTTAAATGCCTGCATGGCTACAGAGCTTCAACAGTTTAAATTCCAAATCAATAATAAATCAAAATCCTTTACAATCTGTGTCCTGATTTCCCCATTCTTCCTCTTTTATCTTTACAGATTTTGTGAGAGAGAGAGGTTGAAGGGTGGGTGTGGGTTTCTTTTAGAATTTTTCGGTGTTTCTCATACTCTGAATTATTGTACAAGAGCAGATGTTGTCTCATTCCTTTCAGTAAAGGTCATATATGTTGTATCAGTAAGTTTATGAATACTTTCAGGGTTGTTTATTCAGTAAAGGCTCTCTTTGCTGTTCAGCTGAACACACTGTTTTGTTTGATAATGTGAAAGCACATTTAGTTTTTTCTGAACCCACCAGTGGTCATTTTATTGTGCAAAAGCAATTTTCTGATGTTTTTGGTGGCCAAATAAATCCTGGTTTGACTGAACCCTATTTCATAGAGGATGCTTTATTATGATTCTGGATTAAAAATAGTGATAATTATTATTACAGTCTTAGCTTTGTGATGCCCTTATGCTTTTGTTAAGATCTAGTACAATATTGATCTGTGGCAATTGAATCTGTGGCATCTCTTGCAGTCTTTGCTGGTTTGAGAAGCTATGAACTTTCAACATTAAATTGTGTATGTACTTTTTATTGGGAGTGGGGTGAGGGGGTAAAAAGAATGAAGTGATTAAAAAAAATAACTGAGAAGAAGCACTCAAACTACTTCTTAGTCTACTGAAGTATTAAGACACTTGCAAAACATCATCTCTTCCTGTCTCCCCCTTTTTCTTATCCTGAAGGGGAAAAACATAAAAAGTGGGTCACTTGACATCCAAATAGGTGGCAATCAAGCTAGTGTATGAGACTCATTAAAGCAGAATACTCAAGTCTGTATAAGGTGGCTCCAGGAAACACATCAGAAGACTGTCTGGTTGAAAATTAGTCCAAATGTGTAGATATTTTTACTTTGAAGTCTCACCAGCCCCCCTTTGAGACTCAGTGCATGAGTCCGACCTCCCGCAAGGCTTGGCTAAGTAATGAGAGCGAGCTGTTTTGGACAGCTTAGAGTGAAAACCTGATGATTTACACCTCCAGTGATAGTAAAAATCCAGCATAATAAAGTAATTCTTTGGGACGTGAAGCTTTACAAAACTGTTTGTTGCTTAAGCAGAAATAAACAGAGTTATGCTACTTGCTTTGTAATTCAGAAAAGAAAAGGCTTATGATATAATTAATTTTTTTTAAGTATACAAAGCAATGGAAATACATCAGACCTAAACTTAGAAAATACTTAAAAAACAGAAGGGTATACTTTGAGTTATGAAAGCAAAAACCAAATTGAGCTGTTGCTGTTTTTTTAAAATGTTCTCTCATCCTTGAGTGTTTCGAAATCTTGTGGGTTCTGGGTTTTTGCCAAATTTGGTCATGAGGACAATTTTTTACATTATAAAGGAGTTTTTTTAGTAGAAAAGTCAAAGTTAATAGGCTTCAGGGGTAATAACAATGAAGATCAGCCGTTTATAGTACAGTGAAGATATGAATGCTTTAACAGGAGTGCTCAAGTGCCTGTCAGCAATACCAAAATCTACCAATGGAGGGTAGCAATAGCCAGCCTTTACGAGCAGCTTAATAGAACTTGTCTTCTGAAGCCTGAAAATTTGTTTTCATATATATCCTTTTCTTGTGTTTCAGGTGCAGATATTTGGAAGTTTTAAAACTGGTTTATATTTGCCTACAAGGTTAGTAATTTTTCAGTGTAAATTCTGTACAAGAGAAAAGATGACTTGCTGAAACTGTACCCCTGGGGTGATTTATCTGCTCTCCTAGTGTCTGTATTACGTGTTGATACTTGTTACATTAAGAAAGTGTTAAGATATTAGTTTTCTGCAAAGTGTACAGGAATACAGTAAATAATATTAACTATAACACAACTATATAGATTTTGCATGTATCAGTAAAAGGATCTGAATTACCATGTGGTCAGAAAAGGCTTATGTTGTGATTTGGCTTCATTAATAACAAAAGAAGAGATTGGCTTTAAAAGAAAAGCTAAATTTTATCTCCACAGATAACTAAATTGAAACCTTTAACATTACCTTGTTAGTGTTAGCACTGAAGAGAAAAGATTACGTACAGAATTGGCTTTTTCCTTTCTGTCTTCTTTTGTGAAATCTGTACGATAGTCAACACCTACCTTTTTTGAATTTGTTACTAGTTTTCATAAAGAAAAATCACTACTCAGGGACAATAGTATCTTCTGTGTAGAAATTGTAAGTATTTTTAACAATTAAAGAGAAATAGAAATGAAAGGCTTAAATGGCTGCAGGGCACAAACACATTGAAATAGCATAATTCTGAGGATAACACTTGAACACTTGAACTTCAGGAATGTGAGGACATCTAATGCTGACTGCAGGCGATGGATACCCTTGTTGTCATTTCATCTCTTTTTGTTAAAGAAAGGACCTGAGAGATGGTTTAGCACCTGCTTTAGTCTCAGGAGTTGCAGAGAAGTTGAATTGCTCAGTGTCTGTTTGAAAAGCCAGAAGTTAGGTGTACAAATACTCACTGTTTTCACATTTGCCCTCATTCTTGGCCTTTTTTGTACATTGATTTTACATAGGCTTAATTAAATTTGATTTGATGCTGGTAATGCAAGAGAGATACTCCTACCCACTTGTTTTTTTACTGTGCTTAATTGTTTTGAAACTGATGTAACAAAAATGCTTTACTGTTGTCTGTTTAATTTCATATACTGCCTTGCTTCAGTATTTGTTTCAGCTGAGGTTGCTGGGGAAGAACAAATGCAGATATTTCAAACACAGTACATAAACCCACAAAAACACCTTCCTGTGGCAGTGCTTGCCAGACTTTCAAAATCACCCACATTTGTGGTGGTCATTAATTCACTGTTGCCTTCTATCAAAGCTTCTCTTCTCCCTGGGTTTTCCCAACCTGTCAGTAACTGTATAGTTAGTTTGGATTTCAGGCTCTGGGATTCAGGAAGACCTACAGTGTTTTTTTTAATCCTGTTTCTCTGTGCAAGAATTTGCCTTATATCCATTTACTTAAGCTTATGTTGAAGGTTTGTGCACGCAGTTGTTTAGCTGCTGGATCTCTGTTCTTTTGCAGGCAGTATCTATACTCAAGGTGGCAACAGAGCTGCTTTTTCTGTTTCAGTGTGCATCAGAAAAAGGCCTCCTGTTATTAACCGTCAGCAGTGGGTTTAACACTGATTTAGATTAGAAGAGAAATGTCCAGCAGCATTTCCTGCTCTCCAAGCTAGTTTTGAACATAGTTTTCTGAAAGCTGTCCTTGTCAGACAGATGGTCTGTGACTGAACTGCTGCTGAACTGCTGCTGGCACTGCTTGTTGGCAAGAGCTTGTTCATCTAATGCAGATGTAGTTTTTTTGAGATTGTTAAAGCAGTGTTGTTTGTGAATCAGCAGACCTGTAGAATCTGGGGGGGGGGGGGAAGCATTCCTAAATATTTTTATGTTTTCTGTTATGCAATTTTCTGTATCACTGAAGTGTCCTGCGAGCATAACTATAGGTTTACATGCTCACCTCCTTTGTGTTCCCAACCAAGCAGGGAAATCAAAGAAATAAGGGAGCAAAGAGGAAAAAGCTCAGGATGTCACAGTAGCCCTCACTGGCTTCAACTGGGACACCAGCCACCTTTTGAATTTGAGTTCAGGGACTGAATTAGGGTGTCAGCTCCCTGTGTAGTCAAATGAATGTGTGTGGATAGGGAGGAAGTGTAGTGGGATGGAAACACCTCTTCAAGGAGCTGAGTTAATGAGTGAAATTAATTAGGTGGTTTGGTCTTATTTAACGGCTTGTTGCTTCCTGAAGTCAAAGTTGCCACGTTTTCCTTTCCCTGCTCCCTGTTCTTGGCACTGCAGGACAGCTGCTTGCCATGTGCGCATTGGTGCTCTGATCATCCAGAAAACCAACTTTGAGATGCAAAGAGGCAGGAAGTTACCTCAGAATGTTTTGGGAGCTCATTAAGAGGGGATGAAGAAGGTTTCTGCCAGACCCATTAATAGGTTGAACTGATTTGCTGTGGATTAGGCAACCACCAGACCTAGAGCAAAGGAGAGAGGGCTGTGCATCTGGGAGTAGAGGATGGGGAACAGGACTTGCCCTTTCAGTGACAGATTGTTAAATTGGCATTACTGGTTCATACAGCCCAAGGATGGTGATTCACAAGTTCATTTTTTGCTCTGAATCACTTTGGAGAAGCTGATCCCTCTCTACTCACAGTGTGGCCTGAGGAGACTGATCTTAGGCTTTTCAGCCCAATTGATTTGTGTGTGTATCTGTCCCCTCCCCTTGGTAACCTGTAATATTCTGTATTTCCCAAAGTGTAAAAGTTCATCCCCACCCATTTCCTCAGAAAATTACGAATTAATTATTGGGTTAAGCTATGTTCTGTCAGCTTTATTCTAGGGATGTATAGATGTCAATTGTTTATATTTTAACTGTATTGGTCTTTTAATATGAATAATTTTTTTTTTCCCATTTCAGTGATATTGATTTAGTTGTGTTTGGAAAATGGGAGGCATTACCGCTTTGGACCCTGGAAGAAGCTCTTAGAAAGCACAATGTAGCAGATGAAAACTCAGTAAAGGTTTTAGATAAAGCAACTGTAAGTTTGCGGGAAGAGGGTATTTCCTTGTTCGAAGCTAAACTTCAAATCTTTGGGAAGAGAATGAATTTTTATAAGAAGAAACTATTTTTTTATATTAAATTTGAAATAGAACCAATAGAACTTTTAAGTAAGGTTTTTACTACTGAAAAAATAATTGATAGTGCAATAACAAGTATTTCTTCTGTTGGGGAAATCATCTGGTATCCCATATGCACAACATACACTTGCTTTTAAAAGAGATTAGACTAGTCGTTGTGAATTTATGTGATTAAGCGTTATGAATTTCTGACTGAGTTTTTACATAAGTGAAGTATTTATTTTTTCTTTTTGCAAGTAAGCAGGCAAAATAAATTTTCACATAAAAATAGTATGTACATTCTTGCATAAAGAGGTAATGGTATGTCATGCACAGAATAGGATTAATTGTTATAATTTCCTACCTTTTGCTAATTTTGAGAGTATGTTGGGGTTCTACTAGGTATCTAATTCATAGCTATTATTAGTAGAGGAAGGTAATTTGGCAACCACTCAGGTGGCGATGCATCAGAATGCTCTCAATATTCGGTACTTATTGTTTGAATCAGTTTTGGTGAGGGAATGATGACCCCAGTGACACGAGTTGTGTCAGTTCTGGAGTCTCGGGTACCATTTCTCTGTGTTTCTCCAGAGTTTGTCTCCCCCTGGTGTCTGTGGTTCCCACCAGAGCTGAGCTGCTGCACCAGCTACTGACCCAAACCAATCAAAAATTTATTATGGAAGGTGAAGCGTTCTGTTCAACAGGACAGTAAATTGAAAATAGCGTTTATGACTTAGAAAAGTAAAGTTTAAGTAAACAAATTGGCAAGGAGAGTGAGTTCATTAATAGGAGTACTGATTTCTCTGCCTAATTCCTCTCTACAAATTCATAAAACGTTTCAGTTTTACTGGTGCATATAAGTATAAATGAAACCAAATGTGTCTTGGAAATCTGTATTGACTTAACCTGTCTTTTTTTTGCAGGTACCTATTATTAAACTGACAGATTCCTTCACTGAAGTAAAAGTTGATATAAGCTTTAATGTACAGAATGGAGTTAAAGCAGCCCAGCTCATCAAAGATTTTATCAAGGTTAGGCAACACTATAATAGAACTACAGAGCTGACTATTTGATAACTTAACTTTATTTCCTGTTTTACTTTGGCTGCATCCTTACTAGAGATACACTTTCACTCTGTTATTTTTTGTTGTCTGATACTACTGAGGGATGTTCTGAAGTTTTTAGGCATATTGCCTTAAAAGGCATGATGATATTAAAATACACAAAGAAAGTGTGGAGTGGCCTTAATGGTACAATGATTAAGGAAAATGCACTAATCTCTGTATTAAATGTTCTGCTCTTTTAACTGTGGTTCATTTAACTTAAAATTAGTAATAACCACACATTTCTGAGGAAGTAAGAATCATCTTGTTCTGGACTGAATATTCTTTTGGCATACAATGCTAACGAAGTAGAATAAGTTAAACTTAAGTGTTCAGAGATTCACTAGTACATGTATAATAGGTATATTACAGTTATTTTTGTTTAATATATGGGATCATTTTGTTAGGATTAATGTGCTTTTGTATTTAAAGTTTTGAAATATCATTACACTATTTTCCTTTCCTTCCCTTTCCCTATTCAGTGCATTAGACACTCACAGTAAATGTTTCATAAAAGCAGTAGATAATTTTTCTTGGATTTTCATATTCTGTTTAGGGAAGTGAAGTGCAGTTCAGTCTCACTGAAGTGCTTAGGTATTACTGTTCTATTACTGACTGTTTTTTTACTTTAACCAAACTACTGGACAGCAGGAGAACCAAAAATATTTTGGTAGCTAGATAAGTAATACTTCAGAAAACTCCATAAATCTGAATAAAGCAAGCACTTTAATTTCAATCATAAAGGTTAGAAATCACATACATCTGCTTTAATAATGTCATTGAGTCTTCTAAATTTGGGGAGATTTTTAACTGGTGATGAGTTGGAACATATGGCATTCAACTTGATAGTCTTCAGTTCCTTTATGTGTGTTTAGTAGCAAGTATGAAAGTAGCTCAGTTTGCTTGTGCAATGTCTATTTCTTTAACCTGTAGAAGGACGCAGGAGAAAAATCTCTGTCCTTAAATTTAGTAGAATCGTCTGACTTCCTCTCTGCATAGTCTCACCTCTGTGTGTCTATGAATCTTCTGCTTGAACCCCTGCCGGTGAGGCCTCTTGCACCCACACTCAGAGTCAGAGGGTGGGGTGGATTCAGAGACCTTTCGTCTCAGCCTCAGTCTGATGAACAGAAGTTGTGTTATGTAGCTCCTTGTTGGGGAAAGAAGGTGCCCAGAATCTCTATCGTAACAGAGCTACCTGAAATTTGGTAGCTGACTTCAGTTTTTACTCTGTCACATTGCCTCATGGTGGACAGGCTGTCCGTGTTTGGTTTTCTGCCACAAGGCAGAGACTGTATTTCTGTTATACTCCACATACAGATTTATTTTTAACTTTCCCAAAATTGCCTATTTGCTTCTGAATTTCAAGGTAGGAGATAGTCTTCTCATGAGAGCCTGAAGGCATTTTATATGTTTGAAAAAAGAAAAAGGCGTTAGCGTGTTCCTGTTGCCTGGGTTATTTGTAACCCTTTGGCCTTGGGTCAGGGCACGGCGAGAGGGGGCTGTGCCTTAGGGAATGAGTGGGAGCTGTCTGTGGCAGCTGGGCAGGTGTGAGACAGGGCCCAAATTGCTGAGCACGTCTGGTGACAGTACTTGGGGTAAGCTCACAGCCTGGCCAGTGCCTGACAGACAACTCCCCAGTGAGGATGTCGAGGCTGAAGATGCCTAGTCCGTGGTTAGGGTCAGGATTTAGGGTCAGAATCAGCACCAGTGCGGAGCAGCGGGGCTCAGGCACACAGCACGAGGAACCACTGAGATGGGAGGCAGCTCTCCAGCAAAGTGGAGGGACTCCCAACAAGGCTTTCCACACGGTGCTTTCCCACACAGCTGTTTTCACAGCAGCCTGAGCCAAGGCTGAGCAGCTGTGCCACCCCAGAGCTGGCCTTGAGCTGAGCCTGGTGTGGCGGGGAGGTGGCACATGGCTGCTGTGGAGGGTCCTTTGTTTAACTTGGAGAAGTTCTGATGTGTACTTGCCAAGGGACTTCACTGGTGTTCTTGAGGCGCTCTCCATAAAATATGTACAGGGCATTCTCATGGGTCTTATTTTGTCCCACATGACTTTCAGTGTCTAACTGAGGTGTCATATTCAGTATTAGCCTTGGAAATGCCTATTTCTCTTTGAGTATTCAGTTTCCTGAGAACAATCCTGTCTTTGAATTTTGGTACACACTGTTATTTGACACTTCAGCTTGTAAGTTCTTAATAGTTCAAAAAAAGGATTTTGGGATCTTCAGTTAAATAAGGCTCCCAATACTCACCATAAGGCTCATGCAGAGAAGTTCTTAGCAAAATTCTTCTTTCCCTATAATCTTCTGCAATCACAGACATCATGATCCACATCTCATCTCTGACACTAAGGAACTTTTTGGCTCTGTGTTCATAAAAGTGATATTATTGAGCCTCTTTCACCCTTCCCCTGTGAGGGAGTGTACAGAGTGCAGGCATAGCCTCCACTGCTGTCCAAAGGGTCCATGTTCTCTGCATGTGCAGTGTATGCACACCTCTAAGGGAATCCATGTGGATAAACCTATCAAAGGACTGGGTATCCAAAGGTAAGTATTTGGCTCCTTTGAAAATGTTATCTGAGTTTAGTAATTTTGAAGGACTTTTTGTAACTCTGGGCATCTGAAGTACTTGCAGGACAGAAATCTCAGCCCATTTTGGTCTATCACCACAGTTGTAGCAGGAAGGTTTTGTTACAGATGTGGATATCTCCACAGTTCTTCCTTTACAGTCCTTTTCATTTGTATGAGAAAAGCAAGTGTATTTATGTATTCAAACCAAATAATTCTTACTTTATAATCTTTTTTCTGTTGTTAATATCTGCTACCAGAGTTGAAGAGGTAAATAACTGTATTGATCACAGGCAGAGCACTTGGCTTCTCCCCTGTTACTAAAAATAATAGCTTAGAATTGTACATGGCTGTAAGGCTGAATATAACAGATAGCTTCAATATGCTCTCCTAGCATCCATTGTATTCATGCACCACAGTGTCATAACATCTTTGTTTTTCTCTTTCAGAAATATCCTGTATTACCATTTCTAGTTTTAGTATTGAAACAGTTCCTGTTGCAGAGGGACCTCAATGAAGTATTTACAGGTGGAATCGGTTCTTATAGTCTTTTTTTAATGGCTGTCAGTTTTCTTCAGGTAAGCTCCATGGACTCTGTGGGTGCCACTGGTGCATAAGGACATCACCTTCAGAAGAAATTTGATCAACCCTTAAATTTAATCATTTAAACTATCACGTTTGTGGTTTTGCACTCCCTTTTCATTTAAAAATAGATACATCCCACCTGTCTTCTGTTCTTTCATACTTTTGGTCTGAAAGATGTTCAGAACATCTGTTGGTGTATCAGTGCCAGCCACTGATACACGATACTGACATACAATATTGATACCTATGATCTTGACATTCATCCTAAACCAACTTGAATGTTGTGTAACTGATTTGGAAAAAGCTCCATAAGGTTGGTGTTGCCTGCAGCTGTCCTTTATAACACTTGATTTCCAGGTCATGTGCCCTGTAGGTGCTTTAATGAATGCAATGGAATTGTGGTTGTTTGTCTAGGTTTCTAAATGTGTTTTACAACTTTCTCTTGAATCTAATAGGGCAAAATGCATGAGCTAAATCTATATTGTTGTGCCTAGGGGAGGAAAATACTGTAGAAATACAAAGTAGTGATTTCTGGCTGTATCAGCCTCATTCTTCTTCCTGAACTAAATAACTAAGTAACTGTATAACTATGGGTCTGTAAGTCTGTACTTTTCCAGATTGTAGTTACTTTTAAACCTGAGCCTGGAACTGGAGCTCAGCATTTGCCTAATGCTGTTGCAGTTGCCTGCTGAACACAAAAGAAATTAAGGCAACAGACGTATCTTTTTAAGAGAAACCAAAATCTCTCCCAACCCCAGTTTTTCTTATATTGACTAATAGCACTTACATTTGCTCCTGCAAAAAGGAAAAGAAAAGAAGTCAGGTTTTGTATTATGTTAAAATTAGCAGCTGGTTTTGTTCATAGTTTCTCGGGCTGCATACTTTAACAGCAGAGGGAACCATGGGTATAGCTGTGCACATGAGAAGCCTGTATTTGTATTGCAGACCCAGGTTTGTGAGGTGCAAATATCTTGGCTTTTCCACAAAAACTCTGCTGGAAGTTCACTTACTGGACTGAAAGTTCAAATACAAAAACTTTAATGCTTGACAGCCTTTTTTTTTAAGAGGTAATTAGTTTATAGAAGTTTTCATAGCCTCTTGATTTAAAGATGCAAAACTGCTTTATCAAGAGAAAATACTATATTTAGACATATTAGCTTTATATATTATGTTTTATTATTATTTATTACTGCATTTAGACATGTTTGCTGTGAAAAAGAGAAGACACTTAAAGGCACTTGAAACTTGAAGTCTTAAGAAAATGATTTTTTTTTCTCTCCTCTTAATAGCTGCATCCCAGGGAAGATGCCTGTATGCCCAATGCCAACTATGGTGTTCTTTTAATAGAGTTTTTTGAATTATATGGACGTCACTTCAATTATCTGAAGACTGGAATCCGAATAAAGGATGGTGGCTCTTACGTTGCCAAGGATGAAGTGCAGAAAAGCATGCTGGATGGCTACAGACCATCAATGCTGTACATCGAGGATCCCTTACAGCCAGGTATCCTCAGAAAGCAAGATTTAACATATGGAATATGAAAGAAAGGGTGGGGGAGTCCTTAATCCAGTGGAGTGAAATCAAAGAATTAGATATATGACTGTATATCTGTAGATAGATAACAGAGGGAATGACCACCAAGAGCCAAACAGAAACATCTCGTTCATGTGTGGGAACACAAGATGTACTCAGAATACAGGTGGCTGCTGAAGTGGCGGGTCAGGGGCAGTTTCAAGAAGAGTGTTAACACATTTCTGATCTAGAAGAATGTCATCCAGGACACTACTTTTATACGTGTAATATACGCAGTACAGGATTTTAATTATTTTTTGTAATTTATTTATTTTATTTTTTTCCTTCATGCATTGCACTTTTACCCAGAGAATTGCTGTTTTGGACTTTTGTGCATGTAAATATCTATAGATCTTCTAAGCTCTTTCAAATGTTTATGCTTCAGTAATCCTGTTCTACAACAGGTAATTGCAGTTAGTTGGGACTTAAAGGCAATTTTAAAAAAATGCTGCTGTCTCCTGTCTGAAAGGCGATAACCACAGTTTCAATCTTATTTATTTATATTCTTATTTTAAGGTAATGATGTTGGGAGGAGTTCCTATGGTGCCATGCAAGTGAAACAGGCTTTTGATTATGCCTATGTTGTTCTGAGCCATGCAGTTTCCCCAATAGCTAAATATTATCCTAACAACGAAACAGAAAGGTAAATTCTCCATGTCTAAATCTCAGACATTAATTGCTTATTTTTTTTGTGTGTCTTAAAAATTAATTGTGGTGATGGTTTTGTATTTTTCCTGGTTTGCAGTATATTAGGGAGAATAATTAGAGTAACACAAGAAGTGGCCACATACAGAGACTGGATATCCAAGCAGTGGGGAATGCAGAGCAGGACAGAGTCTTCGTGTAATGGTAAGTTTTGACTCAGCTGGGCTGAGATTGGGAAATTTCCTGCACATTTTGATCATACAGATTTTATTGCTGCTTTTGCCTCACATAAGGCAATGTGTGCATCTTAGTAGGAATTTCCTTTTTTTGTTCAGTATTCTCATCATTTCATCCAGAAAAGTTAGATTTGTACAAGAGTAAAATGGCCTCGTCTTTGTTCTACTGCGATAGATTTGGTCAACAGAGAGGTCTGTAAAGAGTGCTGCCTTCCAAAAGCAGACTTTGGAAAAACTTCCAATTTAAATTACCATGTTGTCACTGTCACGCTTCCTTTGTCCTTTAAAAGTGGACAAGGTTTTAAAAAGAATTACTGGGAATGCTAGTTTAAATCTGAATACTAACCCTCTGTTCTTTTATTTTTCATTTTAAAGTGTAACATATCATATGTATACAGAAGTAATATTTAATCCAAGACTGACCATATAAGTGGAATAAGCCTTTTAAACAGGAAAATCTTGAAATATCAATCATTATTTTTGTTTTTAACAAATGGAAACACAAAATCTACGCAGAGAACTTGGTTACAATGTCTTTTAAAATCATGTTTATTCCATTGCCCATCTTCTGACTTCAGCAGTCAGTTGCCACTTTTTGTGTAGGTGTATCTGCTATCTGGAAGTTTTCAAACTAAAATTAATTTTAATAATCTCCAGTTAATTTTAGAATGTTGCCTACTACAAGTCTTCTCTTGTTAGGGATTAATCAGAGTACATGATGCAACTACCCAGTCTTTCCCCAATGTTGGTATTTTGTTTATTTGTTTTTAAAACCTTTGTTAGTGATTTCTGTCACTGTACCTGTCAGTTAAATGTGCTCTGGGCCATTTGTGTTCTCTCAGGCCCTTGTGGCCCTGCTGTGCCCCCAGGAATGGCAGAGAACTGCTGGTCAATCCTGCAAGGAATCCTTAGCTCCCTATTAGCTACCTCCATGCAAATACAGCTAGTGGGGCAACAGATATATGTTATGCCAATCAGAGGGAACTCCTCAGTGTCTTATGTGAGATAAAACAGCAATTAAAACAATAAAAATAACCCCGTATCAGGAAGGTAATGGTGACAGTTACGGTGGTTGTCTTGTAGATTTAGTTTGGACTTAAGCTCCAATTCTTTTTTTTTAATTAAGGCAGAAGTTCTGTACCTTGTATCTTCAGTGTAGGAATTTGTACAAAGCAATGAGACTTATTTAGAGTTCTTCTGATCCTATCAGCTCCAGCAGAAGAAAAATGGGAGTTGCTGAGTATTGGGCATATAGGAACAGAATTTAAACCTACGTATTTAAATGCTGTTGAAGCATGGCATGAGACAATCTAAAGCAGCCCATCTGAACTCTGTTACTGCCTTCTTCTGTGTGTTATTGCTCTAATTCCCATCTTGAACCGTGGGCAGTGCCCAGGTTTTCATAGTGTGCATTACTGGATGTTGTTGGGAAGCCCCCCACGCCCTCTGGGAGGTGCTGCCTGCAGCGTGTGCACACAGACACCCTCACCTGTGTCTGCCTGTGTTTGGTGTGCACATCCTGCAGGATGTAACAGGCTTTATGTATCTTAGTGGGTATATGATAAAAACCCAAGGCAACATAATTTAGCAGTTAATGTGTGGTGATGCTTCTGTTTTGTTTTTGCTAGGCAATGGAGTAACCTTGATAGTAGATACTCAGCAGCTGGACAAATGCAACAATAACCTTGCTGAAGAGAATGAAGCACTGGGAAAACCTAGAAATAAAACTTCAGAAACACTTAGTAAACATTCTTCAAATTCTTCATCAGGTCCTTTATCATCATCATCGTCTACACTGTCCAGCTCTAGTGATGTAGTAAGTACTGGAGGTTTTCTGACCTTTCTTTTTTTAATTTCTTTTGGGTTTTTTCCCCCTTGATTTGCATCGCCACAGAATACATTTCGGAAGCTTGGAGTCCTAGTTAATTATTTCATCCAGAATCCTAACTTGCATAAGATGTTAACTCTTATGCAATTTCTACACATGTAAGTTGCAGTGTGTTTTTGACACAATACATGTAGAGAGTAAATGTAGTAGATACAAAATTCCATAGCTCTTTTTTCTCTGGGAAAATGGTATTTCAAAAACAAAAAAAAAAGACTGGTAATTCCAAGCCACATGCTTTAAAAAAAAGCAAAAAGCTTTAAAAAAATCTGTTTGGGAATTCTATTTAAAAAATAAAATAAAAGGCAGATCTCAAAATCAGAATCACACATCAATAAATTTTTAAATCTGTTGCACTCAGTAAAAATTCTGGATTGAAAGAATTTTAATATCTATTTTAATATTTTAAGCTTTGTCCACTGTTAGCTTTATTTTTAAAGTAAAAGTCACTTGCAGAAAAACTTACTCTTAAGAAAAACTCACTAATACTTTACGTTTTCCTGAAGGATTCTGATGGAACACCTTGCAAAACCTCTAAACAATTGAGTTGTCGTCAGTCTACCACAAACAGAGTGGGGTCACAAGAAGTGTCACTGGAATCCTCCCAGTCAAGTGGGAAAACACAAAATAGCCAAACAGCCAATACATCCAGCAACACGAACAAATCTCAGGTTTGTGGAATGTTTGAAAACAACATCTGTATAGATTATTTGAATATTGCACATGTCCCCCATGGAAGGGTAGCTTGTTCTGGAAAGGAAATGCTGTGTTTTTCACCTCCCCTTTACCCCACTAAAAGGTTTTCAGCACTGATTTTTATCTAAAATCACCTGATTCTTTCTTTAGCTTGCACAGGTGAATTTGCATCTGTGGCTTTCCCAGCCCTAAAGCAGGTGAAATTGGACTGACTTTATTTAGGGACATCTAGATTTGTCAGAAGTATAGAGCTGTGTTGCACCCATTTCCTCTTTGCAAAAAGCACATCAGTCCAGTTTTGACTGCAGAATTTCAGAACTTACCCTCAGTGAAAGACAGTTAGCTAAAATATATGTTTAAAACTCTGGCTGCTCTGTTAGCTGTTGATACTTGTTGAGCTGCTTTCCATTAAGGGAGGTTAAGATTCTTTGCTGACACATGAAATCCCCTCTCATTTCCCCCTATAGATAAATATCTTTATGATGACACCTACCAAATCTTGTGCATTTAGGGGATTTCTCATGTTAAGGATGCTTCTATGGCAACTCAGTATTCTGGAAATATTATATACCTCTCTATATACAGTATACTTTGGATATATTCCGTTTAAATTTTTATTCTTGGACACAATGTAGGACTTCTGTGTTTGAAAATAATCTGGAATCTTCTGGAATATTATTCCTGAAAATAATTCTAGAGACATGCCTTCTCCTTGCTAATGATCTGTCTGTAGCTTCTAATGAGACAGTTCACAGACTGGGCCTTGCCTATGCCATTAGTGTGTGTTCATGTTATTAGGCAGAACTAATTCCAGGCTGGAATGTGAATGTGCACAATCTGAGATACCCTGTATCTCTAAAAAGATGTGATGTAAAATTAGTCCTGGATGAGATTTGAGCAATCTTCCTCTGCTGTCTTGGATTATGGATTTACTTTTCTGTAAAACAGTAGAACGGTTCTATCCTTTCCAAAATTCCAAGTGCTCTGCTCTTTTCTCTGGACCTGCATAGCTTTGGATCTAGAGATGAACAGTTTATCAGTCACCAGAGTGGAAGATGGGCAGTGCTGTGCTGCTGTCTCAGCAATGGCCAGGCTCCTTCTGCCGTAGCAAGTTTTTCAAGTGTAAGGTTTTCATAAGTGAACATCCTCATTACCCAGAAACAGGGATGTGTGATTGCCACGCTTTTTTCCCTTTACCATGGGTTTACCATGTTTTCTTTCTGTTACAGCATGGATCTGCACGGTTATTTCGCTCTTCCAACAAAGGCTTCCAAGGTCCAACAAACTCAAGCCACGGTACCTCAGTCACAAACAAACAACATCAAGGCAGCAAATCACACCATCAGTTTTTCCACGGCAAAAAGAGGAAACACAAGAGAGATGCAGCCCTGTCAGACCTTTGTAGATAGTTGCCTACTTTATGACTGTTCTTCTGTGTGCAATGATCTCATGCTACAGGATAGTTTGATAGTGACTCCTTGGATCTCTTCTGGAGCTTCAGACTGTTCAGACATAGATTAGCAACTGCATTTTTTTTTCCCAGCTCGCCACGGAACGGAACATGAAGATTGATCACTGCAGAAAAAAACCAAGAAAAATAAAAAAAAGGAAAAAAATGGAGAAAAAAAGGAAAAAAAAAATTTTTTAAGAGGAAAAAGGCTGCTCATTTGATAAGTCATATGCTACAACAGGGTCATTTAGGATATAAAAGCTTGAATGTAAAATAAATGTAATTCCCATCAGCTCATGCTGACCTGTAGAGGTAGTACTCAGTGTGTCTAGGGGGTGGTAACAAACAAATAAAACACAAAAAAATAGGAAAAAAAAGGCAAAAAATTGTATTTTGAGGGAAACCCAGCCTTTAAAGGTGAAAGTAATTTGTGCATGATTTTTTAATTATTTTTGCATATACTTACCATTTTATTGTGTATATATAGATGACCATATAGGAAAACTGACATTTGTAATAGTGGATTTGTTAATACTTTTTACATAACATTACTGTTTAAATTGTAAACATAAATTTTTCTCAGGATTAGTTTGAAAAATAATCTGAATTGTCATCTTAACATCCATATAAAGAGACATTACTAGTTATATTGCTCAGAATTTCTTTTCTTGGCATTTGAAAGATCTAATAGAACATTTGATCTGCAAAAGCTGTTCCTCTGATAGAAAGGTTCATGGTGGCAAATGAAGATTTTCATTTGTATAAAGTGTACATGTACTTTGTGTAGACACTGAGCTTGTCATCTCAGAGAAGTAACCTTCACCTTGTTTTCTAGAGTGCCATCATTTCAGGCAATGGGGTTTTATAGTTGCATCCTTCTCTTCCTCCCCATAGTGGTCTCTCCTCCACTCTTTCTTCTTTTTTTTAAAGAAACAACATAGGGCCACTCGGGGTTTTTTCGTTTGATTGGTGGTGGTGATTGTTTTCTTCTTTTTTTTTTGGTTTTAAAAAACACAAAACAACGAAACTCAGTTTGTTACAGATGTTTGCATTCCTGGGCTGCTTTAATCCCATGCCTCCTTGTTTGTGCCTTTCCTCCCCCTTCCAGGTCTGGGTTTTTTTGTCTTTTATATTTTTGCTAACTCCTGTAGGAGATGATAACTGTTGAAGCTTTAAGTAAATTTTACAATTAAAGTATTTTTTTCTCACTCCCCTCTTAGGCATTTTTATATTTACACTTAATTATTAAAAAAAACAAAACAACCGTTTCAAATAATGAAATATACTTTGTATTGCCTTAAAGACCCAAACCTTTCATATCTCATCGTATTTCTTCATTGACCTCGTTATCATTTCATTTAAACTCCACATTTGTGTGGTTCAGTCGCATTACAAGTCTAGGTTGCAGTACCTTTGATGCCATGACTGCGAATGAAATTGTAATTGCACTCACAGGCATAGCTTGGAACAGGAGTTGGGACACTTTGGTGGTGGAGAGTTAAGTGGCATTTACTTTCACATATTTTGTTAAAGAGGAAAGTCTGTACTCGGCGTACGTGGCTGTATTTAATGCAGCGGTTCTGAGATGATGCTTTTATAAAAAGTACTGTTAGCTTTGAGAAACTCTTTTCATATACATTTACAGAATACTACAGACCAACCTGACCTTTAATGGGCACTTATGAGTGCAATGATTCTTAAAGTAAAATAAGACCAGAACTGGTGTTATCACTTAAATTAATAAACATTTTCAATGTGTTAAAGTGTTTTACTTCAAAAAGGAAAATATATATATTCCAAAAATACAGAAAGTCATAACATTTACTCCAACACTAAGCTTAAGTGATGTTAATTTGACAATTATTTTTAATTTTTAGATTCATATTTTAATTTGATCAGATAATTTTATCAAGAAGATGTTCAGCTTTTGTTCATAGAAGCTAGTAAAAGTTGTACCACATTATGCATAGTCAAGTATTTATTTTGTTTTAGATTATTGTGAATGTGTAGACTTATGTTCACCGCTTAGGGAACAATTATTTATAAATTATATTAATCCAGTATTGTTAGCTGCTATTAGCAAAACTGTTCCAAAACTTAATACTTGCAAAGATCTGTATCGCATTTACCACACTGAAGTGTTTTTAAAAGAATCACCCTCATTGTTGAAAGCAAATGTACTCTTAGGGTGCAGATATTAGTGTTCCAATAAGCATGTGATAATTTTAAGGTGGTGGTAGCGGGAAGATAATCTTGATTCCATTGGGAATCTTAGGTTTGCCTCAATTTATGGTTTTCATAAATTTAATGGAAAATAGCTTTTCCTGGACTGCTCAAGTTTCTTTTTGGTAAACAGTATCTTTCTAAAAGAAAAAAAAAAAAAAGAAAAAAAAAAGAAAAAAAAAAGCATGAAGGAATAATTGAGGTATTTTACATTGCCTCAAATGACCAGCATTGTATTCATAAAATACTGTATATCTTGCAAATCTTTATTTAAACGGAACAGTTGAACTGTTCATTTTTCAATCTGAAGTAAAATACTTTCAAGACCTTTTAGTTTGCCTGCTCATTTGTCTTGTACATTTCATCTCTGTATTTGACTCAAGTCTAATTCCTTTTTGAGTTTCAATACTTTTGTGAAGATTTTGTGAATATACGAAAAATAAATGTTTAATCTAACTACTGCAGTTTATCACCATTCTTGACACCCTGTTTTCCCCTTTACAGCACTGTGGAAACAGCTACTCGAGGAGCTGTGTCACATTTTTTGTATCTGAGTCCTTCCCCAGCTCAGTGCTGGGCCCCTCTGCCTGGAGTGTGGAAGCTGACTTTGTTCAAGTGGCCGTGGTCTGCTCTTTTTCCTTCCAGGAGAGCTGGAGCAGAGTCTGTAAGCCTGAGAATAAATGCAAGAATGTGCATGCATAAAGGGGTTCTTAATGTATGATTTTTCTCCAGCTTTCCTCCTCACAATACATAGGAAGCTTGTGGAAGGATCCTTTTTTTTTGTCTTCCGAACTTGGCCTCGGGGTAGTGCTCGAGCTGCAGGACAGGAGCTGTTCAGAGCTGCCACGCTGAGAGGGTGGTGTAGAACCATGCAAGAGTTAATTTGATTTACTTTCACCTAAAATCCATGTTTAGCAGCTCCTGAAGCACAGCTGATGTTACTGAAGTGTGTTGTAAACTTTGGTTACCATTCTTGCATGGCTCAGTTAGGAAGACACATACTGGAAGTTCTTGTAGTCTCACCACTGGTAGTCTACCAAAAACCACTGGAAATACATAAATAATCTGAAATGTTTATGTGTCTTCCTGTTTGGCATTAAATTGATTTTCTAAGGGTTTTTAAATTTAAAAAGAAGATTGTTTAAATGGTGTTTATAGTTAAAAGCTGTGTATTTGTTAAGGGTTTTTTCGTCAGTCTTCTACCTTGTGGCAGAAAAGAAGCTGAACTGTAAGTAAATCTTCCTGTGTAAGAGAAATGACATGATTCTGTTTCCTCAGAATTTACAGCTCAGGTTTTTAAATATTTATAGTAAACTTCTTTTGCTAGAACTTAATCTGTAGAAAATAATTAGTGGTCCAGTGGCCGGTGGCAACTTTTTTGATGTACTTTCAAAATGCAAAATAATTTTCTAAGAATCAAGTTTAAAATGTCTTGAAACTGTTTATCTTGTAAGTGCAGAATTCAAGAAGTTTACATTCTGGGTGATTTGTAGTGTTTTCCAAGTTTTCCTCAAAGATGTTTTCTAGGTGCAGAGACCTAAATGTAAATGTATCTTGACTATATTTCCAGAGTCATTTACTAGCAGTTCTAACAGATACATTACTCATGACTTCGTCTTCAAGTTGAAAGCAGCTTTGATGTTCTCCTGGTGCTTAATTTTGTCGTGGTTGTAGATTTTCCTATGTCAAAATACTACTAGGCTCTTCCCCACAGTGATTTGCTCTGAGCCTAAAGAACTAAACTTCAAAAGTTGATTTGTTAGGATGTTTGAGATGGTCCCAGAGAAATACCCAACACCTTTGCAGGTTTCTTAATGCCCTGAGTAACATGGGAATTAAAATTTAAATGACTTTATTGAGTCTTTATAAGCCCAAAGTTTGTGTCAAGTATCTACTTGAAAAGGAAATAGGAAGGGGCCAGGAAGTGGCCGTTAATTGTGCCTGGTGGTGCGAGATCAAATTAATGTATATTTCAGATTATTCTAAAATTTAGATCAGCTATTTTTCAACAGCTTTGATTTTATTTTTTTGATTTATTTCATGATTGGCCCACCATGACTGTTTTATCAATCTGGGGACTCCAATAACTCCAAAGTGTGGTGCCTTTGTTGGGCACCTTGGCCGTGCTGTTCAATGGGCCTTTCTCTTGGCAATAGCCAGCTTAGAGATGGGCTGTTCCCATTTGCTCCTTCCTGTGGCAGGGCAGGATATGTGTGAAAGTGGGCAAGAGTAGGAACATGAACCTTTAGTTTATTAATTGGTAAAAGCTGATGGGCTCCTGAAAATCACGTAGGTACGTGGATAAGTAGGGGAAGCTGAAAAATCTTGGATATCCTCTGCATAAAAGCCATTTGGAGGAATGCCATCTTTCTGCTTCCAAATACGTGAATGATGAGGTGCTGCAAGGCTTCTGGTAAGTCCTTTAGCTCGGGCATTCCTTGTGGGATACTGAATGACCTGAGCACTGAATCTGTTGAAGGTTTCTTCACTCTGCAGCAGGTTTAAACAGCTCTTGACATTTGAAACTTGCTGCATTAAGTTTCCTAATCCTTTTTTCAACTCTGAGCCCACCCTCTGTTTTTTGTGGCCCAGAGATTTGGTGCTTTTATCAAATCCTGTGCAACAGGTCTCAGTGAAGCACGAAGGGGATTGAGATTGTTAGTGCTTTAAGAAGAGTATTTCTTGCTGCTACAGCAGCTTTTTAAAGAAAAACCATAAACCCCATTGATTGAGCAGGCTGGAGGAGGAATATGTCCTCTTAGCCCTCTTACATCCATATTTGAAGCTAGTTTCTGTGCAAATTATTCAACAACCTAATGTTGGGATGCTAGGTTGATTTTTTTAAAGTCTTTCTGTATAATGAAGTCATAGTTTCCCACAGTGCAAAATACCAGCAAGAAAAAAGCAGTTGGCTCCATGCAAGAACTGGCTTGTAAAGAATGCTTTTGTGTGGTGGTGGAGGAGTCTGAGGAACCATGAGGGCAGACCTGGTGAGTGTTTTCCTCGTTTAAAGTAAATAAAATGTTCTTGTACGGGTATATAAAACAACTTATGCTTCTGTATGAAGCAATGTTTGACTCTTGATCTTAAAGATCTTAAGCAATCAAGTGCTTCTGAATAGTTATTGGAGAAAGTAATCTCTGCTCTCAGCTGCATTTTCCCAGGTCTTAAGTTCATTTACTCTACTAGATTTGGTGACAGCGAAATCTGTAAATAAACCTGGTTCACATAAACAAATTGCTTGGTTATGCTGCCTGGCAATGTAACACAAAAATATCTGTTTGAACTTAAAGCTCCCATCTTAAAAAACCAAACTAACAAAACCACAAAACAAGTCCACCTTGCTGGTCTGTACACAACAGGTTGTTGCATCAGGAGTAAAAAGAAATACTTTTCTTACAAAAATAACATGATGTGGTTTAGGTGGACTATACATTAATGGTTGCTGTTTGCATTTCCCTCCTTCTGTGACCTATTTCCAAACATGACTGTTGTTCGTTCTTACAATAAGTAAGGGACTGATCAAGGCTGGGTTGGGATTTTTTCCCCTCTTCACTATAGTGGATCTTGAATCAAACTCCTTTGTGGTTGCCTGGTAATAACTAACTATGAAAAGACTATTCTCAGTTAGAAAAATCAATGGCTAACTCAACAGCAGGTAGAAATCTTTCATATTGTCTTCCTTCAATGCATGTTTCCTTTTCCTTTTCAAAATTCTTCACAGTGCACGGGAGGAATAACTTATAAAATAATGTAATTATTTATATATGATCTTCTTCATCCCGAAATGTGTTTTACTAAATCGATGTTATGATATCAATTTTTATGCATCAAGATAACATCAAAAAGCCGTCTAATTGCTGAAAACTTCAAGTATGTCTGAGCTGCAATGTGTGCCGTCTAGTGCATCACTTCTGTGCAGTGTCTAAGCCACACACTCCAGCTGTAAAAGGCAGTTTGAATGCTCCTGGTTTGTAGCACTGTTTGTATGCAGACAATAACACTTTCAGGTAGTGGTAACTTATGTGGTATTGGCGAGCTACCGCCTAAATCCCACAGAATCCCATTACTCTAAGGGGATAGCTGAGAAAACTGGATTTTGTTGCCAAAAAAAACCCCAAAAACTTTACTCAATATCAGTGAGGTCAAGAGCCAAGGGGGTGAGAGTGGTACTGGCTCCAAGAAAGAGCAACCAGTGCCAGAAGCTGTCCTGGCATCTCTGGCTGTGCCCACAGGCAGCTTTGGCTCCTCTGCAGCACTGGCAGAGACCACACGCTGCCCCGGGCCTGCTCTCCTGGACAAAGTGCTTTATGCAAATACATGTAAGTGTTTCTAAATTCTTCAGAACAAAGTCACATGATGGTCTGTCAAAAACAGAACAAACTTTTTGGAGAGTACAGGCAAATACAGACGCTGGGAATCTGGAAGCTGAAGCATTAACATGAAAAGGAAGAAATCCAACTTTTGCAGTTGGTTTCAATACATAGGGCTATGTTGATTTAACCAGATGTGTTTGTCCACACGCTTTTAAATTTGCTTTGTAGCAGTTTCCTAGTGCATTCTCTCAGAACTTTCTGTTCTCAAATTGTATTCCAATTTATGTAAGAGTGTTTTTCCCTAATAATATACATGCTCCATTTGTTCCTTACTGATTTTTCCAAAGTATTCTTATTTTCTCTCCAATGTACCCTCCCGGCTACTAACGCAAAGATACTGAAGGTGCAAATTGAAAACAGTTAGCTAAATAGTTTCATCATTTACTGTGAACATAAAATGATCTGTTCTTTTCTGTGTTCTTTAAATCAATAACATCTTCCATTTTGTGTCAAACTCCACCTGCAGCGTTAAGGTACCTGACAGGGAAGTGGCCTTGCTTTCATTTTTTTTTTCTTGCGTAACGTACCAATTAACAAAAAGAAGGAGTGACTTCTCAATAAAGATCATCTAACAGTTTCCTAGGAAGTCCCAGACCAGATCTTCTGTCATTGTTGAGAGTAATTCAATTTCTAGGAGAAAATGTTCCATTTTAATACTGGTCGACTTGAGTATACAGAAAGGTTTAAAACCAAATCTGATCTAGAGCCCTTAGTGCAGCCCAAATCACACCTACAACTACAGGTAAAAGGTTTAAGCAATTAGCCAGGCACTGATTTTTCAAGGCAATAATTAATTTTCTGATTCAG